ATGTTAAATTAAATCAAAAACTAAGCTTGTTTGTCTGTGTGTCTCAAAGCATTATGAATTGAAAAATTATCAACTTTACTGCACATGGACTATTGGATAAGAACAACAATTCCTATGTTGTGTTTGACAAACTCACTGCATTTCAGAACTCACATCAAAGATACTTTTGATGTGCAGTCACTGTTGCTTTGAGACGAATTGGCCAATTTTTCCTGTTTGGAGATGTTCATTCAAGGATGAATGTTGTTCAGCATACTGGAGATATCACTGCTGTTTGAAAAAGGGTAAGAAATTTATATTTCAGTAAGATACTGCTAAAACGTGAACTTAATTGCATATGATGGAAAGTAATTTGGAATGGGGAGTAGAGTGAAGGTTGATCCATTCCCAGCAGTCTGGTGGTAGAGAATTCCATAGGTTCACAGCTCTCTGAGTGAAGAAATTCTTCCTCATCTCAGTCCTGAATAATGGGTAAGCCATCCAGTACTGAGATGAGGAAGAATTTCTTCACTCAGAGAGTTGTGAACTTGTGGAAATTCTTTACCACATAAAGCTGCTGGGGCCAGTTCATTAGATATGTTCACGAGGGAGCTGGATGTGGCTCTTTCAGCTAAAGGGATTAACGGGTATGGAGACAAAGCAGGAGTAGGACATAGAAATTGCATGATCTGTCATGATCGTACTGAATGGTGGTGTAGACTCTGAGGGCTGAATGGCCTACTCCTGCCCTTATTTTCTATGTTTCTATATTTAAAAGTTAAAGCCTGCACAGAGTCTTAGGGTCATAAAGTCATACAGCACGGAAACAGATCCTTTGGTCCAACCAGTCCACTCCAAACATAATGCCAAACTAAACTAGCCCCACCTGCCTGCTCCTGGCCCATATCCCTCCAAACCTTTCCTATTCATGTGCTTACCCAAATGTCTTTTAAACATTGTAATTGTACCCACATCCATCACTTCCTCAGGAAGTTCATTCCACACGCGAACCACCCTCTGTGTAAAAAATTGCCCCTCATGTATTTTTTAAATTTCTCTCCTCTTACTTTAAAAATGTGCCCCCTAGTCTTAAAATCCCCTATCCTAGGGAAAAGACAACTTCCATTAATTCCATCTATACCCCTCATAATTTTATGAACTTCTACAAGGACACCTCTCAACAGAACTTAGTTACAGTTATGGGTCATTTAAGCCCTTGAGTCTGTTTTGCCATTCAATGATATCATAGCTGATTTGCAACTTAAAATGCACATATTATCTATAGCCATTTGCCAGGCCACAACTTTAGTCAACTCTTCAGAAAATTTAATCAGACTCATCAGGCTTGACCTACCATCAGCAAATCCATGTCAGATGTCCGATTCTGTGCTGTATGACTATGACTCTCTCCAATCAACTGAAATTTTTAAGTTGCTCAGTCAACCTGTCCTTATTGAAGGAGTCTATTCATTTCTTGATGAGTTATTTGACTAACTGGTCTATAATTCCCTCATTTCCATCCGTCACCTTTCTTAAATAGCTAACTTTAAAAAAAACGAAAGAACTGCGGATGCTGAAAATCAGAAACAAAAACAGAAGTTGCTGGAAAAGCTCAGCAGGTCTGGCAGCATCTGTGGAGAGAAATCAGAGTTAACATTTCAGGTCCAGAACGGTTCTGAGGAAGGGTCACTGAACCCAAAACGTTAACTCTAAGTTCTCTCCACAGATTCTGCCAGGCCTGCTGAGCTTTTCCAGCAATTTCTTTTGTTTCTTAAATAGTTGGTTGACATAGGCAAGAGATCAAGAGAATTTGAATGATTGTGGAACACCTTTCATGTTCTCTCCGATTTCCTTTAAAGTCCTGTGATGGTAACCATCTCATTTTGGGTGTTTGCTGCTTTTTAGCATCACTACTTTCTTCAGCATTGCTAATTTGCATGTATTAATTTCGTGAGTCTCCACGTCTGATTCAACACAGTTCCCTTGGAACGTTAACACTGCCCTCTACTATAAGTACTGATCCAAAGATTCAACATGTTTAATTGCCCATTATTTCGTTATTTTCATTGACATTATCAACCTTGTCCATTTTCAAGGGGGCCATGTTACTACCAACTGGTATACATTTCCGAAAATAATTACAAAAAAGAGTTCATTTTGATTTCCCTTTGAAGTTTCTTTTCCAACTCCCTTCTTGGAACCTATTTTTTTAATTCATTCATGGGATGAGGGTGTCATATTTATTGCCCATCCCTAATTGCCCAGAGGGCAGTTAAGAGTCAATCACATTGCTGTGGATCTGGAGTCACATGTAGGCCCTACCAGGTAAGGATGGCAGTTTTCGTCCCTAAAGGACTTTAGTGAACCAGGTGGGTTTTTCCTAACAATCAACAATGGAATCATGGTCTTCATTAGACTCTTAATCCCAGATATTTATTGAATTCAAACTCCACCATCTGCCACGGTGGGATTCAAACCCAGGTCCCCAGAACATTACCTGTGTCTCTGGATTAATAGTCCAGTGATAATTCCACTAGGACATTGCCTCCCACCATCACTCTTTACTGCTCTGTGCATCTCTCTTAATCATCAGGTTCTTTTGTGATGACATGCAATTGTGTTACTGACTTCTCAATTTGTGCAACTACTCAAGGACAAAAGCCAACATTTCTGGGAGTAATCAAGTAACCTTTGATTGAATCAGGGGCAGCTTTCATAGCAACTGGGTGAAGTCAAACTGTTTGATTCTGGAAATAATTTGAGGTCTGGTGGTAACCATAGCGATGAACTCAAGAGAGCTAGCAGTGAGACATCTCAGTTCCAATGAGGAAACAATTTGGACAGTGATAACATTCATACATGCATATCACTTTAAAAAGTGAAAGTTACAAGTATACTTAAGAAAAAGCATGTTTTGTTCTCTGCGCAACTTGTTGCTTTGTTAGTTGGGCGGGATGCTAAATTGTTTGCCAATCTACTGAAAGCATGCTTCTAACTCACACAAAGTAAAAACCGATAGAACTGCAAAAGCTGTAACTCGGAAACCACAACAGAAATTGCTGGAAAATCTCATCAGGTCTGGCAGCATGTGTGAAGAGAAATCAGAGTAAATGTTTCAGGTCTGGTGACCCTTCCTCACAATGTTCTAAGGGTCACCGGATCGGAAATGTTTACTCTGATTTCTCTTCACAGATTCTGCCAGACCTACTGAGCTTTTCCAGCAATTTCTGTTTTTGCTTCTAACTCACACTCATGAAGACAGTTAGAAGACAGCTCTACAGTTCTTTTTTAACAATGATCAGTAAGATTCAGGATTCAGGGCTTTTAACATTCTGAGTGGAAATATATTTGTTTACAGAAAGAAAAGATTTGCTATATTGTTATTTCTGAAATGGAACCGTCTTCATACCTTTGTGTATTTTACTGACAAAAATGTTGAAGGATATGTCAAAGCGTTGACACCTAGTTAAAAAGCTATATTTCCTAAATGTTTTCAAAAGAATAAGAAAAACAAGTTTGTCTGTCAGGATATTATAGGTTCAAGTCCATTTAAATTAGTGGCAGGAAAGTGCACAGATTCTACAAGAGCAGCCAAACCTCCCTAAGAAATATCTTCAAAGTGCTCTGCCTACGCATTGTTTAATGCCTGGGCACTAAAGACATAAATGTATGCTGATGGCTTGTGGTATTGTTGAATAGTCATTCTAGAGCAGCTGGGACAGGTCTCTGGTTACAGTGGGAAACCAGCAAATCCAGACAGGCGTTTGGCACTGTGAGCAATGGGATCAGTATTGCATTGATTTCAATATTGGATCAGAGATAGTAGGAACTGCAGATGCTGGAGAATCCGAGACAACAAGGTGCAGGGCTGGATGAACACAGCAGGCCAAGCAGCATCATAGGAGCAGAGAGGCTGACGTTTCGGGCCTAGACCCTTCATCAGAAAAGGGGGAGGGGAAGGGGGTTTTGAAATAAATAAGGAGAGAGTGGGAGGCGGATAGAAGAGGGATGGAGGAGAGGATAGGTGGAGAGGAAACAAACAGGTCGAAGAGGTGGGGATGGAGCCAGTAAAGGTGAGTGTAGGTAGGGAGTTAGGAAGGGGATAGGTCAGTCCAGGGAGGATGGACAGGTATGGGAAGCCAGTTACATGGCAAACTGTTAATCTCAGTGTGGCTGACAGAGTCAAACCTTTTCCATGTTTCTGGCTTTCTTTTCCCATTGTAGATTGTGAATTAATATACAGTATGTTGTCAGATACCCCATCAGGTTAATGGCAGTTAAAGATGTTAGAAATCCTACACGTTTAAACTAAACAAAATCAGGAGCTATGTGGTGTGTCTTTAAGATATACTTTATTCTGTAAAATTTCAAAGCACCCTCCCTTGTCATCTAGTCTTTTGAGGTTATGGATTCATAGTGTAGACAACAAGGCTGACTTGTGACTGGGCATGGAATCTATTTCTGGATACCTACCAACTCTGCTCTGTTACCGGTCGCTGTCCATGGAAAAGGGAGTTGCCATTTGTGCTCAGTGCCTCTTCCTAGTAGGGTAACTGGAGCTAGAAGCTAATTCTATGAAGATTTGTGGGCACAAACCTTGATTGTACTGCTAATGTAACAACAGTAACATATTTTTAAAGTGTGTGTGTATACATATATATATATAATTTCAACTTCAATATTTTTCATAAAAAGAGTCAGTTTTTATAGAATCTCTACAGTGTCACAGGCTATTCAGCCCAACAAATCCACACTGATGAGTATCCCACCCAGATCTGCCCCTTACCCTATAACCCTCCATTTTTCCATTGCTAACCCACATAGCCTGTACACTATGGGACAATTTAGCATGGCCAATCCACCTAACCTGCATACCTGTTGGAGAAAACCAGAGCAAACCCATGCAGACACAGGGAAGAATGTGCAAACTCCACACAGACAGTTGCCTGAGGCTGGAATTGAACCCAGGCCCCCAGCACTGTGAGGTAGCAGTGCTGACCACTGTGCCACCATGCCACCCTGAAAACATGGCTAGGGACCAACAAATAGATGACAACGCTTTTAACTATTTGTGTGTTGTAAGGCCACTAGGACACCTTCCATCCTTATCAAGAGGGTTGCTAACCTTCTATCCTTTCATACAACACTTCATGAGCATTATAGGTATCTAATCACCTGTCCAGTTTCATTCTATATTTACCCACTGAACTTCTGAACATTTTGATTTAAATAAATATTTGCATTTATTTACGCTGATCAAAACCTCAGGATACCTCAGAAATTATACCTATACCTCCAATAAAGTGACAATGGATGGGATCATCCCTTCCTGAAAAGCCTGGGGAAGATAATTAGGAGATAGCAAGAACTGCAGATGCTGGAGTCAGAGATAACACAGTGTGGAGCTGGATGAACACAGCAGGCCAGGCAGCATCAGAGGAGCAGGAAAGTTGACGTTTCGGGTCGGGACCCTTCTTGAGAAAAGTTAAGCTGGTTGGCATCAGGACAAAACTTGCCACAAGTTTTGGGCAGGATAAGCAGCTGACCTTCCTGACCCACTGCCAATTTGAACCCCTTAAGTCTTCAATCAATGACAGCTTAAGGGCATCATTCAGCCTGGGCTACAAAAGCTTCAGTTCGGGTGGTATTAGAAAGAGGAAGCCTTTTCCAACTGGGTAAACCAAGTGTGGGCAAGCTATCAGTCTTAGGAAGAGGGTGATGGTTGTATAGACACCAGATGGACTACTGCACGCAGTTTTGGGAACCACATTATAGGAAGGATGGAAACACACTGGCGGGGGGAGTCCAGAAACGATTTATAAGAATGGTGAGATAACAAGGTGCAGAGCTGGATGAACACAGCAGGCCAAGCAGCATCATAGGAGCAGGAAGGCTGACGTTTTGGGCCTAGACCCTTATAAGAATGATGCCAGGGTTGAGGACCTTCGGTTATGAGGACAGATTGAAGAGGGTGGGACTGCTTTTCTTGCAGAGAAGGTTAAGAGGAAATCTGGAAGAGGCTTTCAAAATCATGAGCAGGCTGGGTCGAGCAGGTACGGAGAAACTATTCCTGGTTCATGAAAGGAACAAGAGGGGATAGATTTAAAAGAGACCTAAGGAGCAACTTTTTCGCACAGAGTGTTGTACGTGTATGGAATGAGCTGCCAGAGGAGGTGGTGGAGGCTGGTACAATTACAACATTTACAAGGCATCTGGATGGGGACATGAATAGGAAGGAATTAGAGGGATATGGGCCAAAAGCTGGCAAATAGGACCAGAATAATTTGGGATATCTGGTCGGCATGGACCAAAGAGTGTGTTTCTGCACTGGACAGCTCTATGGCTCTAAGACGGCATAGATTTAAAGTGAATTGCTAAAGAAGCAAGGGTGTTGCGAGAAAAAAAATCATTTTCACACAGAGAATAATTAGTGCACAGCCTGGAAGTGTGGTGAAGGAAGGTTTAATTGATGTGTTCAAGAGGATGATTATTTGAATAAAAAATGTACAACGGTATGGGGGAGAAAAGCACTAGGTAATAATACTCACTTGATAGGCCACTGTAAGTAGGATGGGCTGAATGGGTGCTTTCTGTGCCTTAAGACTTCTGTAATTTCATCCCTCATCTGTACTAATTCCTACAAGACTTACAAGCTGAATCTAGGGCAGGGGTGTGTCCATTGAGAGCAATTCCCCCACCAAACAACATCGAGCTTGGAGCTTGGAAGCTATGTATTTCATAACAGTGAAACGACAAGGAAACATTGACTGGCTTTGAAATGTCCATTGGTGCCACTTTTATTGTTAGGAGTAAGCGTGAGTGAGTAGCTCAGGGAATGGAGCAGCCAGAAAGGATAGTGCACCTTCCCACAGCAGGAGCACATTAACTCAATCTTGGTGACACATTTCAAACTTTGTATATCTTGCTACCAAACAAAGCTAGGGTTGTAATCATCATCCACACTACATAGTGAATGCAGAGCAGAAACCAATAACTTTCAGGTTAGAGGCCACATTGGCACCACAAGAAAAAGACCACTCCTCACAGATAATGATGCTGGGATGACATAATGGAGCCGAACTGTGTGGTGAAACAGAATAAACATTTATAGACATTAACCATCAATTAAATCTATCGAACTCCCACATCTTTCACTGGTGTGGTAGGAACTGCCGATGCTGGAGTCTGAGATAACAAGGTGTGGAGCTGGAGGAACACAGCAGGCCAGGCAGCATCAGAGGAGCAGGAAAGCTGACATTTCGGGTCTGGACCTTTTTTCAGAAATGGGGAGGGGAAGGGGGCTCTGAAATGAATAGAGAGTTAGGGGAGTGGTGTTAGAGTGTAGGTAGGAAGTTGGGATGGGGATTGGTCAGCGAGGAGGGAGGGACAGATAGGTGGAGAGAAGACAGACAGGTCAAGAAGGCGGGGATGTAGCTAGTAAAGGTGAGTGTAGGTAGGGAGTTGGGATGGGGGTTGGTCAGTGAGGAGGGAGGAACGGATAGGTGGGAGAGAAGACATTCAGGTCAAGGAGGCCTTTCACTAGGATATTGTGATCCCTCACATTTTGCACAGTGGTTTACAAAATGCCTTGGGAAATACATATTGCTTTTCATAAGTGGATATCACCAGCTGGTGAGCACATATGTGTACTACTGCTTCTGGAGGTACTAGCTGTGGCATTTGGGCCATTAGTAACATGAAAGATTGTCTCCAGGCAACCAAATTTTAATTGCAATCAAATCAGTTGATTTAATATTTCCAATGGGTTTTCTTTCTTCCAAAATAGAGAACACTCAAGCTGGCTGAATTTTCAGGAGCTGGATAAGGCAGTGAAAATAAACATAATTCTCAATGCAGTTACTGAGCTGTGACATCAAGCAGTCTGAGAGGAAGACTGCCTTTGATTTCAAGTCAAACAAGGGCACTTAGAGTGAATGTTCTAAGTGTTTAATATTAATGCTGGAGTTGGCAGGAAGCTTGTGTTTTGGACTGTAATCTTTTGCGCTTGAAGTTAGTGATAACTGAAGACTTCCATAAGAACTCTTACCAACTGTTATAGATGCACTATAAGAAGCATTCTATCTGGATGCATCATGGCTTGGTACAGCAACTGCTCTGCCCAGGACCGTAAGAAACTACAGACAGTTTTGAACACAGCCCAGTCCATCACGCAAGTGAACCTGCCATTCATTGACTCCATGTATACTTTTCGCTGCCTTGGAAAAGCGGCCAACATAATCAAAAACCCCTCCCACCTCGGTTATAATCTCTTCCAACTTCTTCCATTAGGCAGAAGATACAAAAACTTGAATACACGTACCAATAGATTCAAGAACAGCTTCTTCCCCGCTGTTATTATTAAGTTCCTGAATGGGCCTCTCAAATTTTAAATTTAATGTTGATCTTGCTCTCTGTGCACCTTCTCTGCAGCTGTAACATTGTATTCTTCACTCTGTTCTATTAGTCAAATGCACTTGGTGTGTTATGATCTGCCTGCGTTGCACACAGAACAAAACTTTTCACTGTACCTAGGTACATTTGACAATAATAAATTAAATCAATTCAAAGACGTTCCTCAAAGAGCCACATGAGCAGTGATGATACAACAAATCTGGATTAAAGTACAGACAGGTTTGTCAATCAGTAAATTTAAATGAAGCCTTTAATGTGAGGCAATGGCCCAAATATTTTGCTGACTTGTTAGAAGTTCCACATTTTGGATTTGTGAATCTTAATGCCCAATATTTTAACCATAGTCCTAAAAGATCTTCCAGTCCTATATTAGTGGACACAATGCTGTCCTATCAAAAAGTGAACCATCAAGCAGACTATGGTCATAAATACTGTGTAAAGCTTAATGCACATAGCGGTGATCTGGAGTTCCATTAGGAATGCAATATAATTCCTGGGTCTTTATCTTTGTGCACTTGGCATTACTTCTCTCACACAAGAGACAACGTGTTCAATATTCATTGAAAATTTGAACTCGCTTTGATGGAAAGTATATCCTGTTGATGTATGCCATAATGCAACAGTTTTATTAAGGAAGATATCTTTGCACTTCCTGTTGCCTTTAACTTTCCTTTTGATTCTATGTTGAATTGCTGTTATAAAGCAGTCAACTTACATGGACCTCTCGCCTCATGTGACATTATGACTCTTTATTGCTGTCTCAGCTCACTGTTTATACTCATAAATCACTAGAGAGACACATAAATATTTGCTCTCAGTCTGCTTCTAATGTGCCATTCTAAATTATGACAAGGAATAACTAAGATATACCATTAGCACTACAGGTGTCTTTTACAATGTGGACAAAGTAGTATGATACGTTCTGCTTGGAAGATTTGAAATATGCAGCAGAAAATTAAAAATAATCAGGGTGATAGAGATATATGGAAGGAATGGTGATGTTACACATCCAACTCAATGGCAGAGGCGAAAGCGTGAAATTAAGGTACAGTCATTTTCACAGCATATTGTCCAATGCACATTGCATGCTGATGACTCACAGTTACATAACCAGGAACCATTCTTAGTTAAATGATATCATTAATTAGGAACAACTTCTTAGAACTACTTTCTCAGCTAGCACAGCTTACCTAAATATCATGATGACTATTTCTGCACAAGGATATAATCAAATCTCAAAATGTTCGATAAAGCTAACATGAACTTGCTAAGAAAGATGTGGGTCATGATTTAGGCTCACCACATTTAACACTGAATCATTAATCTGCACAAATATATCGTGGAGACTAATAGTTATATTTTCAAGTTTCTCTCATGTGATTGAATGCACCAGATATCAAGGTTTTAAAATTAGAAAACATTTTGTGCTGGGGTCAGAATTTTGATTCTAGTTACTTGTTCGCTTCTGAAATATGCTGAAATCAGATCTACCATTAAACATACAGATAGCAAGGCTACTGATAGATGAAATGAACTGACATCCAAATAAATAGAGACTTGAAAAATTGAGAGACAAAGATCTATATGCATTGATCGACAGACAAACAGGTAAGGAATGAGAAAGCAAAAGACTGTGAAGCAAATGCAGATAGACAGATTGATGGACAAAATGACAAATAAATAGACAGATATGAATAGATACACTAAAAATATGCTCATAACTTTTATAAAATGTTGGCTAAACGTGTACTGAGGTAATTTACCTATTCTATGTTAACTGGTAGAAAACTTAATCCTTTTTGATGGGAGGGGAGAGGCGACTGGGAAATGGAAGCCCTGACACAATTCAATTCTGTGCAGTGAGAATGAGATGATGTTTCCACAATGATTTCCTTTTAGAGAATGTTCAACTCCATTACACTGTCAACGATTATTCCTTCACTGTTGATTCATAAGCCCACTTTAAATGTACTGTTGTAAATGTATTTTCACAGCAACGTCAGACTGCTTCAAAAATTCCAAAGCTGGTCAACTGTCCAAAACAAATTAAATCTCATTTCATGGTTCTTTGATCTCTTCAAAATTATATCCACTCCCACATTAGCAATATTAGACATACACTTAAATGCAAAAATACAGTTTATATAAATGATTCATAATGAATAAGTAGTGAGTTATCACTGATGGTTTTACTTCATTAATTTCCACAGGATTGTATGAAACAAAGAACGGTGGATGCTGGAAATCTGAAGGAAAAACAGAAATTGCTGGAGAAATTCAACAGGTCTGACGGTATCCGCGGATAGAAAGTAGAGTTAACACTTCAGGTCCAGTGACCTCTCTTTAGAACTTGTTAACTTTGCTTTCCCTCCAAAGATGCTGCCAGATGTTGCTAGAGACTCTCAAGCAGTTTCTATTTTTGTATTCTATATTAGTTCCTGATTTCACTTCATTACATTGGTTTTCATGCAAAAATGCTCAGTATTTTACTGTAAATTAATCTGAAATTAATATTTTTGACCCTCTTTTTTTTTTGATTCTGGTAATTCAAATATTCAAAAGTGGTAAATTTAGGGATTTGAGACTGAGCAGTCAGGTCTTTGTGCAGCTAATGTTTTTCACTGTCAAACTGCTGCTTCATGTCAGTGGCATTTGGAGCTAAAACACATTTGTAGATAGCATGACATATTAACAACAATTTGTGCAGAATATTATTATGTGAAAACCTTCATCACTGCGCAGATTTCACAAAATAATTTCGCTAATGTTCTCAAAGAAAAGAACAAACAAATCTAGTGAAATTAGACCATAGGTTTTCTTATACTTAATCATATCTTTTCTCCCTTCGGTGAGTCACATAGCCAAACACTTGCTGACTCTCAACACTGCCAATTATCACTTCCTTTCCTGTTCTCCCTCACACCCCACTGCCGCAGCACATCCACCTACTAACCCCTTGTCCCAACTACCGCACCTCACTCCACATTTCCCCATGCTCCAACCCAGCACTGATCTCCCTATCCACTACCATTCTGTGACAATGTGACATTTGTACAGCAAATGTACACAGTCAGCACATGGAAAAAGAAATCCTTGCCCACACTTTGAAGTTAATCCTCTTTGAAGTTGATGACAAGGAGAAAAGTGTTTTATTTCCACAGGATTAACAGGAGTTATGGCATATTGTTAATGAGCTCCTCAGAGAAATTCCAGGAGTGGTTTTAAATTCTGTTGGATATTTATGTACATACATTTACATTATATTTTACAGCACAGCAATATGCCCTTTGGTCAAACTGGTCTACGCTGGTGTTTATACATGAGCCTCCTCCCATTTAACCCCATCAGCATATCCTTCTATTCCTTTCCATCTTGTACTTAGTTAGCTTCCCTTTAAATACATTGACACTATTTACCTACACCATTTCCCATAACAGGAAGTTTCACTGTCTAATCACTGACAAAATCATCACTGGATATTCCAGTGCATAGTTCTCATACCATCACCAAATTATTACATAAACAGGAGGAGACCGTCTGGCCCGTCAGGTTCCAAATGAGCAGTGTACCTGATGCCACTCTCTTGCCCTCTCCACATGACCCTGCACATTGTTCTTTTGCAGATAATAATCAAATCTCCTCTTCAATGCCTCAAATGAAGCTGCTTCCGGCACATTCTCTGGGAGAACATTCCATATTTTAACCATTCACTATACAGGAGAGCCCTTTGGCTGCCATCTCTACTTTTGTCAATGATCTACATTCTGCGCCCTCTCAGTTGTGATCCTTCCACCAATTGGAACTTATTATCCATACCTGCTCTCTATAGATCCCTCATGGTTTTAAACACCTTGAAATCTCAGCACAACCTTCTCTCCTCCAGAGAAAAACAGTCTCAACTTCACCAATCCATTTATGTAACAGAAGTTGTTCATCTGTGCAACCATTCTCATAAATATTCTCTGTCTAATGCCTTCAACTTCTTCCTATGATGAAGCATCCAAATCCGAATACAATGCTTCAGTTGAGGCTGAATATAACATAATCTCCTTACTCTTGTACTCTATGACCCTATTAATAAGATCGAGTTTGATGGATACACTTTATTAACTGCTGTATTCATCTGACTTACCACCCACTTTCAATGCCTTATGTATACATGAAACTGAACAATAATTTGCTCATCCAAATCAATTCCATGCTGGCCTTGTGCAAGGTATCGTACTTATGTCAAAAGAATTGTGCTGGTGGATAGGTGAAGGGTATTGCAAAATGACAGTTGCTTTATATGGTCAGGCAGCATTCCAGTAATATGAAAAACACAACACTTTTGAAGATTGAATGTGCTTACATAGTTCAAGCATACTGCACACCAGAAATATGACTGACCTTGATCAACAAAAATTTTTTTTTTCATTACAGTTGCAGACCATTTAAACTGATGGAGAACAGGTGCTGGAGGAGATATAATAAGTGACCATAACTGCTCATGTCAGTTATAGTCAAGCAAATGATTTAACTATGAGAACATTTTGAAAAAGATTGCAATCCGAAACACTTCTGAATGCCAACACTCTCTGTGGATTTCAACTGGATAACATTATGACATATTCACTTTTATAACCCAGAGAAAGCTGCTTTGTACAAATCATAGTGTCCAGGGATGTGCAGGCTAGGTGGGTTAGCCATAGGAACTATAGGGTTACAAGGATTGGGTGGGGGTTGGGTGGGATGCTCTTCGAAGGGTCAGTGTGGACTCAATGGGCCGAACAACCTGCTTCCACACTGTAGGGATTCTATGATTCTATTTTCACATTACTTTTATGGGTTAATGGCTGGTGATGAGCTGTTCTTCAGCAAGAAAATATAATTTAAATTATAGATTGAGAATAATGAATGTTCAGGAAAGGAACGGTCAACTGATCTGTAAGTAAAGTAAGATGTCAATTTATGATCTGGAAGCTAGAAATTATGCTGTGCAGTAGTACTGTATGAGAGCATCGTGTATTTGTATAAATTATCCTAACTGCATTTAAAGAAACAAACCTTGTTTCAAAGGAATATATTCAGCATTTGCATAATATAATACAGCATAATTAGATTTCCAACTCTGATGGCCTCACAGTGAAATTATTTATTACGTTTTTCTTTAACTGTCCTGTGGAAACTCGCTTTAGTTCATGTACTTTTCCTGACACAAGCATGGAATCAAATGGCTGATACAGATTCAAACCCCTGAGGTTAAATAGGTTGTTGGATCTGTATGACAGACCCTCAAACATCTGCAAATCCACTTCATCACAAATTAATGTTGACACTAACTGCTATTAATCTGAATTATCAACTAAAAGATACCATAAACAGTGTGTTGATTAACCAATGTCGAAAGGTACTATTAATTAGCATGGTTGTAATCCACGTTCAGTATTATACAGGATCTCAACTTGTTTGCTCTTCATACATGCGAGACATGGTACAATCCTTCAACAGCCTGCGACCAGCACTTCAAAAACAATGCAGAAGAGCGGCTCTCCTTCACAACAAATCAAGCAGTGGGTTAAATCCAGCTGAAACGTACTGCCCCTGTGAGTTTCCACCGGTCTGTCATACAAAACCGTCTTTTAAAAAAAACACAATTTGTTCAGCTGACTGCCTTTGCAGAGAAGAGAAATCCGACTGAAGTATATTTTTATTCTGTCACCAAAAGCTAATTCTTTAACTGTTTAAAGATGGATAGAAAACACACCACGATTAATAGACACTTCGGATGAGGCATCCAGTACACTGGGGCCTTGTTACAAAGTACGTTTGTGAGTTTTGAAGATGATCTTTTTGAAGGCCTTTCGAAAGTCCCGGTTAAAGATGGTGTAGATGATGGGGTTGAGAGAGCTGTTGCAGTAACCGATCCAGAAGAAGAAGTTGAAGAGAGGCTCGGGGATGGTGCAGCTCTGCCTACACACTGCCCTCAGGCTGTAGGTGAAGAAGAAAGGGAACCAGCACAGCACGAAGACACCGATGACCACAGCCAGCACGAAGGTGAAGCGCTTCTCTCGCAGCTGGGCCACCCGGCTCTTGCTGAGCTTGGACGTGGGCTTAGTCCCCCTCCTCTTCCTCCTCTGTTCCAGGAAGAGCTGCGAGGCCCTGTGACTGGCCCAGGACAGGCGGCTGCAACCTGGGCCAGGGAGCGGAGGCAAGGTCGAGGACGACGGAGGAGGTAGGGCCAAGGGGAGGGGAAGGGAGACCTCCTGACCTCTCCTGAGCTCCACGGCCTGGCTCTGAGCCTCTGAGGAGCAACTCTCCTCCAAGTCAATGTCTTCCAGCTCTTCCTCCTCATCGTCCTCCTGGTGTTGGTTGCTCTGGGAGCTCAGTGGGCTGTTACCTGGGATTCCCGCCTGGTTGGCACGGTGCCGCCGCCGGCGCCGGGAGAAGGCGGTCTCCAAGGGAAGAGGAGGAGCCGGGGCAACTGGCTGCCCATTTCCGGCCACCGAGACCACCGAGGTCCTCTGCTTGGCCACCCGGTAGATTCGGAAGTAGACCAACATCATGATGAGGCAGGGGGCGAAGAAAGAGACGGCACAGGACGATAGGATGTACCAGGTCTCATCATTGAGTTGGCAGCAGCCTTGCCTGGCACGGTCAACGCTGACCAAGGGCGGGAAGGAGATGACTGCCGAGATGAGCCATACCACCGCGATCATGGTCTTGATACGGCGTGGGGTCCGCTTCAAGTTGTACTCGACAGCCCTGGTGACGGCCCAGTAACGGTCCAAGCTGATGGCGCAGAGGTGGACAATGGATGAGGTGCAGAAGAGCACGTCCAGTGCCAGGTAGATGCCACACCAGACACTGCCGAAGTACCAGTAGCCCATCAGCTCGTTGGCCAGCGAGAAAGGGATGACCAGAGCAGCCACCAGGATGTCTGCCGACGCCAGCGACACCAGGAACAGGTTCTGCGGAGGCCGGAGCGCCCGGCTGGTCAGCACCGCCACCACCACCAGCGCGTTGCCCACCATGGTCAGCACGATGACCGCCACCACTGCCAGGCTGACCGCGGCCGCAGCCGCCATGCTGTAAGGTGCCAAGGTCAGCTGACCGCTAGCCGCCGTCGTGCCGTTCACCTCCTGCGAGCGGTTGGGGACAGGCTGCCCACACATCTCCATCTGGTGGGGTGTCCCTCAAATGCCTCCTCCTAACTCCCTCCAGCTCTATCCTTCCCTCAAATGCCTCCTCCTCACTCCCTCCAGCTCTATCCTTCCCTCAAACGCCTCCTCCTCACTCCCTCCAGCTCTATCCTTCCCTCAAATGCCTCCTCCTCACTCCCTCCAGCTCTATCCTTCCCTCAAACGCCTCCTCCTCACTCCCTCCAGCTCTATCCTTCCCTCTACCACCTCCTCCTCGCTCCCTCCAGCTCTACCCTCCCTCTACCACCTCCTCCTCACTCCCTCCA